GGGTTTGAACCGCCAGCCTTCTGGTTAGCAGTCAAGTGCCTTAGCCACTATGCTACCAGAGCTCCCTTCAGTAGAAGGCAAGCCCCCACCAAAACAAAAGGAGAGTGAGAGTGATTGCTACAACTTGAAGAATGTAGTCAGTGACACTGAATTGTACATGTAGAAATTGTTGAATTGGTGTATGTTTTGCCCTGTTATATTTTCAACAATAAAATAAAAAAAAAGGGAAAGTGCCTTTTTAGCCAAAGTGATGCACCCCTTAAGGTGTCCAGTTACCCTCTTACCATTGCACAGTGGTATTAACTATACAGGCTTTTGCCTTTTCCTCTTTCACCAGCTTTGCCTTTTCCTTAAAGAATATAGTTTATTTGAAGGAAAAAAAAAAAAAAAAAGAAGTCAAAACAATTAAATAGGGAGCTATAAACTTACAAAAATAGAGTCTTCTCAAATTTCAGTGTGCATACAAAACATTTGGGGACCTTGTTAAAATCAGATTTTGATTCAGGTTTTGTTATAACGCAGATTCTCGAATCACAGTCCTGAGGCCTGTGATTCTACATGTCTAAGAAGCTCCCAAGTGTTGGTGAATACTGCTGGTCCACAAACAACACTTGGAGTGACAAGGATCTAGGAGCTCTATTATTAAGTTAATAAATAATGTCAGTTGTTCCATGCTTTATTTTCCTACAGAAGGATTCAGTTAAACTCATTATCCCACTTCATTCACCAAGACCTTAGTCTCTCAAGGTACAAAGATAAACATGGCATTTTTTAACTATTAATAAGAAAATGTTGGGAAATAAACATAAATATATCAGGGTTATTGAAAAAATTCTGCAAGCCAAAGTTGATTGCTTCATGTGCACAACACCTTTAGAATATAAAAAAACAACAAACTTTATTTGAAAAATATACTTTAGAAATATTCTAAAATTAAATTTAAAATTGAGTCAGGGAACATAGGATTCACAAACTACTATTGACAGTTGTTCTGGTTACTTAGTGTTGCTCTGACGAGAAATATACCATGAATGGGATGGCCTTAACAAACAGAAGTTTATTCTTAGAATTTGGAGGCTTTAAGTCCAAGTTCAAAGTGCCAGGCTTCAGGGGCTGGGTGAAAGCCCCTCAACCTTGGGGTCCAGCTCAGCCTCCTGTTCCCCGCCCACTGGAGCTAGAGGCTTTTCTTCACTGCTGGCTGCTGAGGCTGAGAAACCCCAAAGTTGACAAGTAAAAAGGCACACAGTCCCGATGTTACCACACAGCAGGCTATTGACTTAAGTCCATTTTAAGTCCCAAGGTCAACAGAGCATAGCAGGCTGCTGAGCAACGACACAGCTACATGCAGGGTCCAACCGTGCCATAGGCTAGAGACCATTCCCAAAGCTGCTGCTTATATATGCGAAGCAGACCACATACATAAAGCAGCTACTCAGCTGCTTGTCGTAGATCCCACCATGGAGTTGATTGCCAGTCTCGTCATGGGGAGTAACTACCACTAGCTGCCCAGCCACTCAACCAGGCCCAGCCAAGTTGACACACAAACTGAACTACCACAACAGTCAATGTTGTTGTTGTTATGTATACACCGTTGTTGTTGTTATGTGCCATGGAGTCAGCCCTGACTCATAGCGACCCCTCCTGGGTTTCCGAGGCAGTATCACTACCGAAATAGATTGCCCAATCTTCCTTCCGAATAAAGCCCTATAGATGTTGCTTAATACTTAAAACATAGCCATATCCTCTGAACTCTCCACTAAAATTTACTGCCCTGGAATCAGATCTGACTCAGAGCGACCTGTCCTTGGGCTTCCCAGGCGGTATCACTATGGAAGTAGATTGCCCAACCTTCCTTCCGAGGAGTGGCTGGTGGGTTTGAACCGCCAGCCTTCTGGTTAGCAGTCAAACGCCTTAGGCCACAAGAGATACATTATTTAAAACTGTTAGAGATCTCTGCAAAAATATACAGGTTTTCCCTAAAAACTCATAATTTCAAATTAGTGATTGCCTCATTTTCAATAAATTCTAAAATAAAAGCTAACAACGAATATTTATATGTTTGTTGTTGTTGTTGTTATGTGCCTTCGAGTCACCCTGACTCATAGCGACCCCTCCTTGGGTTTCCTAGGCAGTATCACTACGAAAGTAGATTGCCCAACCTTCCTTCCCAACCTTCCTTCCGAGGAGTGGCTGGTGGATTTGAACCGCCAGCCTTCTGGTTAGCAGTCAAGTGCCTTAGGCACTATGTTACCAGAGCTCCATTTATATGTTAAGCACTAAATAAGCACTTATTATTCTACTTACCAAACATTTATTGAAGCGTCCTATGGACTATGCAAATTGTCTCATTCAATCCTCATACAACTGTATGAAATATCATTATTATCTCTGTTTTAAGAAGAGGAAACAGTTCTGAGAAGTTGCACAAGTAATGAAAATTAGTACGGAGCTTCTAATTTGATCTGCAAAACCAGTACTCTTAACCATAACATCAATGAAAATCACCACTCGTTCTGACAGCTAGTGTAACTCCTAGAAACCTCGCGATATTTCTCAAACTACTACTCCCAACTTGCAAAGCGGCTCCTGTCCACTGGGCTCTTCCCTTGCCTCGGGGCGCGAGGGGCACCTTGGGAGTGGTAGTTCTCCCGAGTGCCTACCGGGGTTGCCAGCGCGGCAGTGGCGGCTCCCTTGGCTCTAGCCCGCTGGTCCAGCGAGGGCGTGCCAAAGCGGCGAAAGGGCGCGGAAGTGACAGAGGGGTGAGTCAGACACTGTCTAAGCGATAAAAAGAGGCAGTTCCGCGGTGTAGGGCTAAGTGTGGCCAGTGCCGCAGTCTATTTAGGGCCCCGGCGAATAGCGTCAGCGAGAGGAGGGTGAGGAGGAGCCAGAGCCCAGTGGCTGCAATCTTTCTCGCCTTCAGTGCGTCGCCATCTCCACCATGCAGTCCCGGGAGGAAGCTCCGCGCTGTCGGCGCCTTGCCAGCCCCCGCGGCGGAAGACGGCCCAAGAGGATCTCCAAGCCCTCAGTTTCGGCCTTTTTCACCGGCCCAGAGGAGCTGAAGGATTCAGCCCATTCAGCAGCCCTGCTGGCACAACTCAAGTCCTTTTACGATGCGAGGCTGCTATGCGATGTGACCATCGAAGTGGTGACACCTGGTAGTGGGCCCGGCACGGGCCGCCTTTTTTCCTGCAACCGCAACGTCTTGGCTGCCGCGTGCCCCTACTTCAAAAGCATGTTCACGGGCGGCATGTACGAGAGCCAGCAGGCGAATGTGACCATGCACGATGTGGACGCCGAGTCCTTTGAGGTGTTGGTTGATTACTGCTACACAGGTCGCGTGTCGCTGAGCGAAGCCAACGTGCAGCGCCTCTACGCGGCCTCTGACATGCTGCAGCTCGAATATGTACGGGAAGCCTGTGCCTCCTTCTTAGCCCGCCGCCTTGACCTGACCAACTGTACTGCCATCCTCAAGTTCGCAGATGCCTTCGATCATCACAAACTGCGGTCTCAGGCCCAGTCCTTTATAGCTCACAACTTCAAGCATCTCAGTCGAATGGGTTCAAATCGTGAGGAGACTCTGGCAGATCTGACCCTGGCCCAGCTGCTGGCTGTCCTACGCTTGGATAGTCTGGACATAGAGAGTGAGCGGACTGTATGCCACGTGGCCATGCAGTGGCTGGAGGCTGCTCCCAAAGATAGGGGTCCCAGTGCTGCAGAAGTCCTCAAGTGTGTCCGCTGGACACACTTTACTGAAAAGGATCAAGACTATCTGGAAGGGCTGCTGGCCAAACCCATTGTGAAGAAGTACTGCCTGGATGTTATTGAAGGGGCCCTGCAGATGAGCTTTGGTGACATGATGTACAAGGCACTGGTGCCAAAACCAAACAGTAGCACCAGCTCAATTGTGTCCTCTGCAAAAAATCCCCCCCAGAGGATGGGTATGTGTGCCAAGGAGATGGTGATCTTTTTTGGACACCCCAGAGATCCTTTTCTCTGCTATGACCCATACTCAGGGGACATTTACACAATGCCTTCACCTTTGACCAGCCTGGCTCACACTAAGACCATCACCTCCTCAGCTGTCTGTGTCTCTCCAGACCATGACATCTATCTAGCTGCCCAGCCCAGGAAAGACCTCTGGGTGTATAAACCTGCCCAAAATAGTTGGCAGCAACTTGCAGACCGTTTACTGTGTCGTGAGGGCATGGATGTGGCATACCTCAATGGCTACATTTACATTTTGGGTGGACGAGATCCTGTCACTGGTGTTAAATTGAAGGAAGTAGAATGCTATAGTGTTCAGAGGAACCAGTGGGCACTGGTGGCTCCTGTACCCCATTCCTTCTATTCCTTTGAATTAATAGTGGTTCAGAACTATCTTTATGCTGTAAATAGTAAACGCATGCTCTGTTATGATCCTAGTCACAATATGTGGCTAAACTGTGCTTCTCTTAAACGCAGTGACTTTCAGGAAGCCTGTGTCTTCAATGATGAGATCTACTGTATCTGTGATATCCCAGTCATGAAAGTCTACAACCCAGCCAGGGGAGAATGGAGGCGTATTAGTAATATTCCTTTGGATTCAGAGACCCACAACTATCAGATTGTCAATCATAGTCAAAAGTTGTTGCTCATCACCTCGACCACCCCACAGTGGAAAAAGAACAGGGTGACTGTGTATGAGTATGATACCAGGGAAGACCAATGGATTAATATAGGTACCATGTTAGGCCTCTTGCAGTTTGACTCTGGCTTTATTTGCCTCTGTGCTCGTGTTTATCCTTCCTGCCTTGAACCTGGTCAGAGTTTCATCACTGAGGAAGACGATGCACGGAGTGAGTCTAGTACTGAGTGGGACTTAGATGGATTTAGTGAGCTGGACTCTGAATCAGGAAGTTCGAGTTCTTTTTCTGATGATGAAGTCTGGGTGCAGGTAGCACCTCAGCGAAATGCACAGGATCAGCAGGGTTCATTGTAAATAGTTTGAAACACTGAGGTGTTTCCACTGTTACGGAATGTATCTTTAAAATGTCTCCTTTTTCCTGAGGGAAGAAAAAGTTGAGTAAGACTGCAGATAATTTGGTTTAGAAAGGGTAGCTTTTTGAAATACTAATTTAAACTTACAAAATTTAAACAGCTCATGAAATCAGCCTATTTAATAATTTACTGTGTTAAAAGGCCAGAATTAAAAAATAGTCAAGTTCTATGAAAAGAACTGTATAATCAGTTAAAATGCTTGGTGTTTTTCATTGTTCAAGGACCAGTGTATTATTTTGATTAGTTAGTATGTTTATGTTTTAATTATCCTAGTTTAGTCTTCTACTAACTTTAAAATTCTGTTTAGTGGTATCAGCAATGTAATTTTTGACTTGAATTTTTGTAATAGAAGACTTATTGGACTATAAATTGCTAGGTAGGGTTTTGAAGGTGTATATTTTCCTTCAGAATAATGAAAATAGTTGATTTCCAAAATTTTAAACTAGTCAGTTTTTTAAAAATGTATATTTAAACATAATTTGTTACCTTTTAGTTTGGTTCTCTTCCCCTCTGCAAAGAAGAAAAAGTAGATGTATACATTAAGATTATTGAATAGTGATTTCATTTTGATAATGTGCAGAATGGCCGTACTAGCTCCTGGAAAATTTTTAAAAAATCAATATTTCACTATTTTTTTAAAATTCAGTTTTAATTTGGAATATAAAATATTACTAAATGGGATAGATTTTCTATCTTAAAAAACAAAACCATTCTGATAGCATCATCACACATTTAAAAACCCTTCTAAACCAAAAACAAACAATGGAATAAGTTTTGTAAGTTCATACTTTTGATCTATACTTGATACATGTTTTATTGAATCAGAAGAATGATTTTTTTTCCCCCATTGGACATATTAGGTAATGTGAATTTTTATCACCTGGTCAAGGCTTGACATAAAAACTTTCTTTTCCTAAAATATTTTGGCTGTAAAGCTTTGGTGCTCGTCGTAGAGGACTCTTGAACAGAAAGTGATTTGTTCTTTACAGTTTTTGTGAGGTAATACGGGGTTTTGAAAGTATGTATAAGCTAAAAACAGTATTTTATTGAGATCAGTAGTCATTGTGTCTATGAAATATAAAATCAAGTGCCAGCAAAGAACTTTAAAACTTTAAGCTGTGTATAGCATTGAAATACTCTGTCAGTTTTGTAAGTCACTGTAAACGTTCTTGAATATCAGCTCTGAGGTATTTTTGTATTAAAAGTTGACAGTTAAAGAACATAAGTGAATGATGGCATTTGGGGCCAGTTGTGAAAGTATGTTTCCTCTAAATTATTTCTCTAGGAGTGGTATACATGGTTATTTCATTATGGCATTTGTAATCTGTGTTTCTCTTTGAATCATCTTTTGGTCACCATAATGTAAGGGAAAGTCCAGAAACAGAGACTAACTCACACAAAACTGACATTGTTAGATACACGAAAATACAGGTGCTTCCTTTTTGAACATGATTGGCCTGATGCGTATACATAATAAATGGCCAGATACTTAACAGTCTATTAATTTTTCTATTCCCAATTGGAACGATCTTCCTGAATCATTTTTTTTTCTTCCTTTTTTTTTAAATAACACGCTAACCCCTCTTCTACGCTTATGCTCTTGTGACAAGATGCTGACATTTCTTTCACCCTGGCACAGTAGAGTGGAGGGTGCTTAGGTGTGGGGAACTGAATTTTTGAATGAAACATAGGATGAAAAAAAGAGGGAAAGAGAAAAGGGTAAAGAAAAGAAATGTTTTCTTAGCTATTTTGATTGGCCATTTGAAGAGTCTACAGGATATTCCTGTTTAACATTATTTTTAGTGAAATGAGATGCTTGCCCTAATGATAAGTGTTCCTTCAAAAGGGCAAACATGCATTAGTGGCCCAATGCTAAATTTTGTTCCATTTGATATCAGGGATGTTATAAGCACTGCTGTTAACATGGAAAGCTGTTTTCTTAATAGTGTCATTTTTTTAGCCAAACTTTGTCTTCATCAGTAACTTCTTGTTGACAGCTTTTTGTTTTGAGAAGTTGAACTATAAAGCAATGCTTATCTCAACCCAATTATCCATCTGCAGAATTAAGGTATGCAACTAATTTATAAAACACAAATTCTTCATTTGTCAGCCTCAACCTTTAAGCTAAAGCCCAAACATTTACAATGAGGTTTTCTTGGGAAGAGTTTTGGTTTCACAACATATTTGTGAATTAGGGAGTAGATGTTAATCATTATTTTATAGATAAATGGTTTGTACGTGGTTAGTTGCAAATAAAATTGGCACTAGAATCCAGGCCTCCTGACTTAATGTTTTTGCTAAATATGTAAAACCCTTGCTTACTCAGTGAATGACACAACTAGCAGTGTTTAAATTCCTAATTGACAAGAAAGCACCCTTAGTTCACTTTTCCAGTTAATCACACCCTTTAGCAAATGCTCTATTTAATTTGCAGGGCTATTGTTTGTAAGATTTAAAATGGCCATTCACTATCTTTTATGTATATATGCCTATATTTTGAAAAGCTCAGAGAACCCAAATTACTCAGCTATTCTAAATTCACAGGATAAGTGGCATTCGTGTTTCCAAAAGGATAAAATACAAGCGTAATTTAGCAATTACCTTGTTTAAGTTTGCATTTAGTATGATGGCCTCTGTTATCCCTTGGATTGTGGCAGCGTAGCTCTAGTCTCTGCCTTCATCTTCACATGACTTGCTTTCCTTTCTTGCAAGGACACTAGGCATTGGATTTAGGGCCTACCCTAAATCTAGAATGATTTCATCTCAAGATCCTTGACTAATTACATAAATATGATCACATTCTGAGGTTCTGAATGGACATGGATTTTGAGGGGACACTATTTAATGCACCAGTTCCTCTCTTTTCTCTAGTTGAGCAGCGTTTTATTTGTTTGTTTTTTTCTGTTTTCATACCTGGATCATACTGAGAATCTGATAAAAGCTTTCAATCTGTACTCCCAGAGAAATGCACTTGTTCATATTTTCATAATTTCAAGTAGTATCATGATACTTCTGGAGTTCATCCACGTACCCAGGGTAAGAACACCTGTGACAGAGTCCCAAGGACATTTCTATAAAAGAAATTAGCATTTTTCACATTTAGCTCAAATGTCAGGGATAAAGAGTAAAGTCATTCCTAAGATAGACCTAAAGATATACGTAATATATATTTACCATCTGAAAGGTATGGGAAAATGTGTACCTGAAAACAAAGGAAGGCTAAAAATGACATTTTGAAATTCCAGTTTCCTCATGGTGATTAACATGAGAGTAATTAAATGTGAATGGTTTAAAGGAGTCAGTGAAATGAGCTAATGTAGGTGAAAGCTATGAAATAAGTGGTATGTCCAAGAATGCTGGACAAAAAGCAAAATGTTTACATAGCTGACATTATAGCTGATTATTAGAAATATATCTAAGTAGCAAAAGTATCTCAGATTGTTGGAAAAGAACATCTATCCATATAGAATTTATTTAAAATATTGTCAATAAAGATAACAATTTGGCTGTTCACATTTTTTAAATGCATTTTATTGAAATATAATTTATGTACAGTGAAGTACACAAAACTAAAGTGACATGGGTCAATGCTTTTTTTTTTTTGCAATGGTCCTTCTCCTCCCCTCCTACTCCTTCCCTTCATATATAAACCTTTCCTTGACACTCCACAACAACGAATGAATACTATATTTGTCCTTCTGTGATTGACTTATTTCACTCAGCATAATGTCCTCCAAGTTCATCCATATTATGTGGTGTTTTGCAGACTCTACATTATTCTTCAGTGATGCATAGCATTCCATTAT